GCTTTTCGACTTTCACTTTGATATTGTCACCTGTTTCGACTCTGCGCACGCTTTTGAAATGACAAGTACAGCCGGTGTAGTTTCGAAGGTGTCAAATTATTTTTCCTCCGAGACCAGTCTACTTTGATAAATAAATAACGATCGAATGATTTTTTTTTTTTCTCTTTAGTTATTTAGAACGTAGTAACCTACTATCTTTACCAAATATTTAGACATCGAGTGAAATAAATCGTATCAATAATCAAATCAAAATATACAGAAACGTGACAATTAATTTGGGTAGTTTGGCAGTAGTTCTTGTGATTAATTTTTATTCGCATACTAGAAGCAGACTGTAGACTTTTCATACGTTTGTGTAAAGTTTATGGAAAGATATGCAAGAAAGGTGTACAAAATATTCAAAGCAGAGTGTTCATTATAATTACTTTTATTGTGTTCGCGGGAATATGAATTTGCATAAGAATTCACCGCGTAGCTTCATGTGAGATTTTGTATCGTTTACACTTTTGGTCGAATTGTGCGTAGAACAAATAAAATGCATGCCTATCTCCGTACTTAAATATTATAAATTAATATTTTATTACAAATAGCAGTTTATACATTTCCTTGGTGTTAATTAAATTTTTCACATGCGCAATCAAACGCAGTTCTCGAGCTTATTCCGACATTACAGTTGCATTCGCGTGAAGTATCTTTCTTAATAAATTACACGAAAGTGTTTCTGTGCGTATATCACTTTTCGATCGAATTGAATAAGAGTAACAATTTCTCTACAGTTCAATTAATATGAAATTGTAGGATTGCTGCGAAAAGGAAAAAAAGATAATGCAAAAATAATGTGTAATATGAAGTTAATGAAACGTTTGAATTGACGATGTACGAAACGGAATGCATTAATTGACGTGAAAAATGCAATGTAACAAACTACAAAATGAAAATGCGGAAATGTTTCACGGCAATGCTTCCTAATTAGATTCATTATTCAAATCAAAACTATATATCGTAGGAGGGGGGGGGGGGGAGAAAAAGAAAGAAGGAAGTAAATAAACTGCAGGGGCAGTGTACAGATTGCAAAATTTATTTTCGACGTTGCAACTGTTCGCATTAATTAAAATTTCTTGCAGGCTGCAGGACGCGTGCAATATTTTAACGAATTCTCATTCGAAAAGAATGTTTACGTTTAATAAAGGGTGAATTTGCAAAAATGACAATAAACAGGCTATCGGTTATCTTCTTCGTGCCAAACGCCAGAGAATATTCCCCCTCTCGAACGGAATATAAATAAATCCCATGGCGCGCGACCGTGCGTTTCGTTTCATGCATTAAAGACTTATAAAATTCTTCGATTAATTCTCTACTCGCGATTAATATCGTGTAATGTAACGCATTCGGGACATTCAATAACCAGCAATTAAGAAGCACGGTTTAATTCTATTTCGTTTTCGTCTGTTTCAATTAAAGCGATTTTAAAAATGCACGGCCCCGGAGAGTGGCGACGTTATTGATTAAACAGCAATAAAATGTAAAGGGAATTCTCACTTAATTCCAAATTTAATTGTATTAAAATTTCAAGTTCAGTTAAAAGCGTATTGTGGAAAAATATTCGTTCCCGATACGTTCGCATAATTTACGCGTTACTTATTTCTTACATCCCGCGTTTGCGAAGTGAATTTCACTGTTAGTTTCATTATTAAGTCGTTTAATTTAGTAATAAATCATCCGTTTGAATATTTCACCGGCGTCAGGATCTTAAAACTTACACTCCCAGACGATGGAAATAAAATTTCACCTACTCTCGTAATGCGTAACGTTTCACTTATCGCGTGCGAGAGAGAGAGAGAGAGAAATAAGAAAAATATAGAACGGATGATTAAATGCGCAGGAATTATACAACAACAAAAATGAGTGAATTGCTAATTTTCGGTGATGCATGAATTAAAGTATCGATCTTTAATTACGGATTAACCTTGCGGAATGTTGCTGTTTGTCATTGTATTGTTTTGTATTACATGCAACTGCATGTGTATTTGTAATTTTTATGTTTTATTTTTAAATCCAGCATGTATATTATTTATGAAGTTTTTTCTTTTTTCTTTTTTTTTTTTTCCCTGAAACGATGCGTGTTTCGTAATCAATTTCACTCGGGACAAGAATATTTGAGAAAGGATAATTTTAATAATTTCTGCGTCTCTAGCAACCTTCCAGCCAAATTTTACAAAGAAAATAAACAAGCGATATTACACGCAGCTACTAACAACCAATCGTCATTATCCCGAGCGACGGTAAAATCAAAGCAAACAAGTAAAAATTAAATTCAATTAAATTCAACATTTGAACGCGAAACTACCCTTTGCAAAGATCATCAAGATTCAAATTAGTCGTCCGCTATTCGTCTCTTCCGTCGTTAACAATAACTCAAGGCTCCATAACATTCCGTGAAAATGGAAGCCAGTGGAGGTTAACGAAAAAAGAAAAAAAAAAAAAAAGAAAAAGAATAAAAAGAAATAGAAAAAAAGAAAGAGACTGTATTTTTCACGCGCCGGAAGGAAAAACAGAAGTGGATTCGTGAGAAACATCGAGTCCACCGGGGTCCTCGAACCTGGCTCTAAGCACCTGTAAAGTGTGTAACGATAGTAAACGGAGAGCGGCCGCGCAAATATTTCGCCGGAGGAAGACGGTTCGACTAGTTGAGAAAACGTACACCGTCTTGACTTCCGCGGAGAAAAGAGTATCAATATGCATAAAGGTCTGAGGTGGGGGAGGGGGTCTGATGCTCGAAACTCTCTAGCCGGATACTTCGTTCGTTCGCCAGCTATAACGAGCTATGAATTATGAATCGAGCCAGAACGAGGGACTCTGTCTCTCTCTCTCTCTCTCTCTCTCTCTCTCTCGTTCTCGTTCTCTGGTCCTCTGTCCCTCTCCTCCTCTCTCTTTCCACTCTGTATGCCCTCCCATCTACTCTTCTTACGACTGTTCAATTTAACAGACGACCCGTGCTCGTACGAAAATCAACAAATATTGTTCTTGCTACAGTTATAACCGGTGGCCCGTTATTACGTAAATATTTTGCACCGTGAAACTGTAATTAAAGATCTATTAAATCAGCTCACGCTGGGTTAATTACATTGAAACTGCCGCCGCCGCCGACACGCATCCACCACCCCCACCCGATCACCCGTGAAATACCGTCGAATCACTGAAATACGGAAACTTTTCGTCAGCGGCATCTACCCTTCTTTTCCTTCCTCTCCCTTTCTTGTCTCCCTTTCCCCCCCGCGGTGTCTCTTTCCCCTTTTACCACCGACCCGCGTTCGCGCGAAGTCCAATAATTTCTCCGATCGACAGATTTATGTACTTGTGTCGATGGTATTCTTGGAGAAGGGGTTTTGTGGATCAGGAATTTTGTGAAGCAGGCCATTCTCGAGAGCATATTAATACTCTGTAATAATATGTAATACGCAGGGCGAATCTCGGATTTTCTTAATGAAACAGTTTCGAAGGAATGTGAAATTCTTTTAACGTTCTTTTACAAAAATTCATTACTTTTACGAAACTTCATCAGAGATACTTTGTTTTTAAATGTAACTTACTTTTGCCACTGAGGTACGCCTCTTTGATGCTACAGCAGCGAAATTTTGAAGATTAAATAAATTAAGTAAAGTATGATTGACTTGAATACATTTTACTACTACTAGTATTAACATTTTAAGGATCATTTCATCTCGTAAAAATTTTATTAATAATATAAGGTTGTTCGGAGAGTTGGCAGCAGAGTTTGGAAATTCAGATATTAATATTATAAGAAGATGTAACACTAATGCAATTCAATCCAAGTGCGCAAGATTGAAACTATTCGGATAAAAAGAACTTTTTGATTAAAAAAATAGTTGTATTAATACTGTAAAAACTTGTGACCTGATTCTAGCATCCTGCAGTACTTAGAATTGGTAACTGATAACGTCGTATGATATTCAATATTTTCAGTATTTAACAATAGATGACGCTGCTGCAGCATCAAACGTGATACGGTGCGCGCATTTTTAAAACGAGGTAAACAGCGGTGACGTTGATTACAAAAGAAGAAAGACGAAAATAAAATAGGAAAGTATGTTGTTAAGAATAAAAAAGATCAAGTAGTCGTTCTAAAGATCTTGCTGTAAATAAATTTAGATAAGAAGATTGTTTCGGATAAAATTCAAGTACATATTGACTCTAGTTGGATAGATAGACCGTACCGATTGTTAACAATGAAGAAATTTTGTTAATTATTAAAATTATTACAGGAATAATTTATAACAATTGCACTATAGATATTTAAATAGGTTTGAAATATGTATTGATACATATGTACTTATATATATATATAAATTACAGAAATTTAAATTTTACTCGAAAACAAAAAATAAATGCACAAACAAGGTAGAATAAACGTGACATCAAAAACATGCTTTTCTGTGTCACATCCTATCGTATCGATTCAGGCAGGTTTCGCACCGCAGCGCTACTAGTAACGAGAATTGAAATTAAAAAAATATAGATGTTGTGTCAGATTTGTTTCGAGAATTACTTATTAAATTGAACGTGGTGGTTCATCAATGAAGAAATATAACGATTTAAAACAGAGACCGTTGAAAATTGCACGTCTGTGTTTATACCATTTTCGTGTCACATCCTATTATATCGATTTAGGTAAGTTTCACATCGCAGCGCCACTAACAATAGGAATTAAAATCAGAAAATATGAATGTCATTGACTGAAGATAGAATAGTTAATGCAACGATCATATTCTACCATGTCTACCACCAATAAAGTAGAAATCTGCTGTCAATAATACAGAGTTCTATTCATCCAACATACCGACGATCGTTTACCCTCTACAGTTGATACCTACAATCGATAAAACCGTAATTTCTCGACAAAACCGAGTGGCGTCTCTGACCGTGAATCATCGGGCGCAGGAGCCAAGGGGCACGATCGTCCTAACGGGTTGCCAGTCGGCAGGAGTTTAGTCGGTGCCGGTCCCGAAACGCGTTCACGTCTGGACATTCCATCGGGACACGATATCTAAGATGGCAACAGACATGTACATTTGATAGGGCAGTCGATTCGAAGGGGATAGCCGACTCGGTTCAACCAGAACAATACGGCATAATGAGCGGCTGACGAGGTGTAATACGCGGCATGAACGGATAGTTGAGGGACCGGTGGTTGCTCAGTTCATCCCTTGAAATTTTCCGAAACGACTCAGCTTCTTCAGGGGGGGTGTGATATCGCTTTCCGTTCAAGCAACTCGTCGTGCACGGGCTTTCCGCGCGAAACAGACGTGCTTGTGTGGGAAGTTAAAGCATTCTCGATGGCACGCCCGTGACCAATGGTCCCACAGGATAAAGGTAAGCGATACGTTCGTCACGTCCGGCTCCTTCGACCTATTTTACGCCGCTTTTCTACGCGACACGCGCCAACCCTTCGTCTCGCCGATCTGCTGACAAAATTTGATGAAACTGTGGTCTTTCTTTCGCGATTGATCGATAGCGAAATAGAAACGCTACACTTGCATCGAAATTTCTTTACATTACCTGTCGGACGTGAAAAGTTTGTAATTATTAAGGAGAAGAACTAACACGCTTCTCTTTGCGTTCGAAACGTTTGTCGCATTTAATAATGGTAAATATATTACAGAAAAATCACGATTGTCTGAAAAAGAAACAACGCAATTGTATGTCGTCTGAAACGTGAACCTCGAAAATGAGATTTGCATCGAAAAGTTTTTTATCGACAAAATTTATCAAAAAATTCGTAACGGTTCACTGAAAAATAATATGCTTACTTAAAAAATGAGTGTTTCAAATGAATTCCGTGATAATGACCTTGCACAAGCGCAGCATCTGGGCAAGTCTATTTTGAAAAATTCTTGGCCACGTTCTCAATCACGTATCTTCAGTTAATTTGATATAATTCAAAATTCTTACTTGTACGTGTACGTAGGTTACTTTCAATTAACGTTCCCTTTGAAATGTTTAGAGTCGTGATTAAACTGATGTTCATGGGGATATTACATCGCTGAATGTGGATTACAGAAAATTTCACGGCGTTTGTCGAATTCAATGGGGCGATTAGAGTTTGTTGGGTGACTTTGAACCCTCTTTGACTCGTCCGGTGTGTTTGCCATTCAATTCGTCGCGGACATTGACTCAAGGATTGTGGGTAATCTCGCTGGAAGATGAAAATCGACTTGAATTAATTCATCGATCGCGGTTAAAATTAACAAACCCGATAACCGGCCTTATCCAGATCGTTTTCGATTAATCGGTTATTGCAAATTGGATTTCTAGTTTCTAGTTAAAAGCGTGGACGAAGCGAATGTGAAACAGGGCTGCGTTTCAGATATCCCGTTTGTCAATTAATTTCAAGATTTCGGCGAGCATTCGATTCCTCGGATCGTGGAATCAATGCAAAAACAAGCGAAGCTGAGGAATTCGTTTTAATTGATTTTCCAGGCGGATATCAATTTCAATATCAATAAAGTTATTAGTTTTACTATTATAGTTAATAGTACTATTCGTGATCGATGAACTTGTTCTTTAAGAATATAACTCTTTGACGTGACAGGTTCATTAAATGCGAAATTGAATTTCACTTTGAGACAGATTATTTGTTCACGGCGTTCGTTTTCGCCGTTGAATTACAGGTTCCTTTTGCTTCTTTTACTTACTTCTCTCGACGTTCTAATTATCAGAAATGCGTGTCTTAAATAAACGAGTTTCCCCGAAATAAATTTTACAATCTGGCGGAGGATTTTCCTTCGAAATGCGAGAGGAGGTATTTATTAAACTGGTTGTTAAAATGTGTAATAAATGTTTAATAAAATCAAAGTCAAGGTATTGTTTTGTTTAGAAAATTACACTCAATGCAACTGCTGATTTATTAACGGGTATTTATAAGTAAGAAAAGTGTGAAGTGTAGAAAATTAAAAGTATAATTGCAGTCAAATTTCTCTCTTACTTTTGGTTTCTTAAAAAACACAAGTTTGGTTGTTTGTACTAATTTGGAATATAATTAGCTTTCAGTCTCGTATAATAATTAAAAAGTCAAGAAACTGTTAATTACCGCGCTGTACCGTAGAATATTAACAGTTTAAAGTGGACGGTGCATAACAAAGTGTATTAATTATTATCTCATGAAAGTTCCGTAGATTGTTAATTTACGAATTCTCCAACTATTCGCTTCGTGAGAACGAAGCTTATGCGCAATGAATTTTCCACTGTCGTTTCTGCGTACCAGAGTTATCGCCTTAACCATAAGAATAACAGAAGTTTGCCGCACAGAAATTAAAATAAACACCCTTGAAACTAAAAAACAAATAATCAATAATACCATAAATTACTACCATGTCGTCAATCACAATGGTTTCACTGAGAGTAATACAGTATTAATAATAATAATGTTTGTCGTACAAAATTTGAAGATGACACCAGTGAAACTATTCGAATATCTTAATGATATTGTAAAATATTACATGCAACAGAATATGATTACGAAATATTATAATAATATATCATTGCAATCATTTGGAAAATAATTGAAAAATTAAAATGAATACCGAAAATATGAAAGAAATTCTTTCAATGATATTGTAAAATATTAGAAATACAGTATTAATAGCACAATATTACAACACTATAATGTATATTATTGCTCAGAAAATTTTATTGCTCAGAAAATATTACAACACTATAATGTATATTATTGCTCAGAAAATTTGTAACGCCCTTTGGAAAATATTTGAAAAAATTTGACATACAAAAATTTAAAAAAGGCACCTGAGATGAAGAAGAAGAAATTATCCAAGTTTCTTAATAATACCATGAAATATTAAAATTATAATAAAACACAACATTAATAGCGTAGTAATATTGTAATATATCGTTGTTCAAAAAGTTCTCTACGAACAATTAACTCGTCAAAATCATATTTACAATTATTTTTGCATTTGAAACAATTTGCCCTGTCCTCTAACATAATACACTTTATCTCCAGACACAAAACTGACATCTACCATTTTGTCAGAAAGAAATAACTTTCGTGCCGCGCCAAATTCGAAAATAATTCCGTCTTTACAAAAAAAAAAAAAAAGAAACACTAAACACTCTGAAAGCAAATCTCAGATTCAAATAAATATTGTCGCGTGTATCTCATGTACGTATCGCATTCGAAGAATCCTCGAACCAAGTGACAACAGATCGTGTTGCTTTTCAATGCCAACGCCGATTTCTTCGCGATTCGTTTTTCTTTTTTCTTTTTTTTTTTTTTTTTTATTCCTTCGCGAAGGCAACGCCGCAGATTCATTCGCAGAGGATTCTTTTAAAATTCAAGACGAGCCCAGACGGTGGGACGGGAATATATAGCGCAAATAGCCGCGTTACTAGACGCGATCTAGAAGAGAATTTATGTATCCAACGCAATTTGCTTAAAACGCGAATAAAGACCGTAATTTACGACAGGCAGATTGTTATCCTATTCTGTCTTGAAATTACGCGGAAATTTTTGGACCGTGGCGTTCCAAGGGCTGCCACGGTTTGCCGCGCTTTGTTCCCTGGATCGTTCGATTCTGGACCGAGACTTGTAAATCGTCGGAAATAAATCACTTTTCTTTTTTTGTTTTGGGAAAGGGGAAAAAAGCCTGGTGATGCATGGGCGACAGTGAGCCATTAATACTTTGAGCGTTGTATGTCGAAGAGAAATCGAAGGAAAAGCGTGAAATATGAGAGTAATATAATCGAAAGTGACGTTAGACGGTGCGACTCTTTCGGTTCAGTTTTTTGCTACGACCTGTTCCTTTTTTTTTTTTTTTTTTTACGGGTTTTTTCCTACATTTTTAGAAAGTGTGAAATTTTCGTTGCTAATTCTTGATAACTGACATTTTCCATTCTTGATCTAAATCGTAATGTAATAACTTAAATGTTCACGTCAAAAAAGAACTTATATTAACTGGAATTGAACTCAACTTTAAGTTCTTCGTAATCCCACCTGTAAACTCTTGACAGTGTTTTGATTTTGATCATGTTCGCTGATATATTTTCTCGTGTGAAAGAACAAATTTTTATTTCCAACAGCTTCATTCGTCAATAGATTAACGAAAACGATGAATTAAGTTAACTATAGATAATATTGTTAATATTAAAATAATATCGAATTTAATAAATTACAAGATCTTGCAAGAATAAAAGAAAATTAACAATATCAATATCAAGAACACTAAAAGAACGAATTAAATAGAAACAAAATCACAAATTAATTTTGCTGTATTAATTGAAAAGTTTCGTTTGTTTCTAAGAATATAAATTGGTTTCAACTTTATAAATATTCAAAGACACCGTACCCGAGTATGTTTCGTAAGTTAAAAACAAGAGTTATTTGTGACTTTTTAATCGAAAAATTGCAATTGAATTTTCAACGCTGTAACAAGTATCTATTTGTCTGTTGCTGTAACGTAATGACTGTCCAATACACAATATAACGTGTGTGCAGTGCACGATATTAGCTACTCAGAAAAATGAGGAGGCATCGTTGAATATCGAGCCCCGGGTACAGCAAACTGAAAAGCCATTCTTCTTTTTTCACTATTCGCTAGATTACCGGATATACTACGTCCTCATTTTCTCAAGCATACATTCCTTTTTCCCCGATAAAACCCGATCGAGAACACACCTATGCATCCTGATCTCCATTCGATTGCAAGCTTCATCCTTATGAAAATTGCCGTCCATTTTCTAACAATAGACAATAGTCTGAGTCTTATTTTCACTTCTCTCATCTGTGTAAATTTCATTTCAACTCGAAGTCAATCAATAATTTCAATTATTCAATTAATCGTCGATTGCAGATGATTTTATTTCACGCGGAATTGATAATTCATTTAGAACGAAATTTCAAACGAATGTCAATTAATTTCAATTTCGTACATTTTTAGTAGAATAACACAGTGTGCTGGATATTTAATATATAAACGATTTATATATTTGATCGTGTTGCGTCATGCGAAATTACAATTACAAAAGCTGTTAAGTATAAACGTCGTCGTGCGATGGCAATATTACTAAAAGCAACATTGTGCATCGTTATTCGAAATAATGGAAGATTTATCTTCGCAGAGAGCCGATTCCGCGAATAAATGTTTCAATGAAACGTATTTGATATTTTAAATAAATTACCGATCAAAGATGGGGTAACATTAACATAATGCTTTTTTCCCTTCTCGGCTATTCGCTTCTGTCCCTGCCAATTGCTCGGGAAACGCGGCCATCTCACTGTTTTCAGTAGTACACATCAATCATTGAAATTAATGCACATAAATTGCTCTAGAGTACGTTTGAAATGGCCATCTTCTACG